CCTGCCCCCGCTTTGAAGCGTGACCTTGAGCAACGGACTCATCTGTGTGAGGTTCCGCCTGCTCGTCAGGAAAATGGAGAAGCCGGGCCACACCACGTCGTCCTGACGATCACATGAGATCCCGCACCTGAGACCTGCAGAGCCTGGCAGGGCGCGGCAACCTGATTCTAAGAAACGTTGCCCGCCGCGCGCACCCCCAACTATTTCAAAGCCTGGGCGGAGCCCGGCACCGTGCGCTCCTTAGAATGACCTCAGAGGAGCGAGCTGCCGTCCTCCCCCGCCCCTTTCCTGATCCCCATGCCCCCTTCTCAGCAATGGAAACCTCGGCCTGTCCGCAAGTGAGCAAACTCAGGTCTTCCTTTCACTTTGCAATCGTGCATACACATTATATAAACACCCATTCCCCCCAAGGAGAGCAATTCATTCATTTTTATTTTAAAAAAATATATTTGTTATTGATTTCCGAGAGGCAGAGGGGGAGAGAGACAGAAACATATATGATGAGAATCATTGATCCGCTGCCTTCTGCATGCTCCCTACTGGGGATTGAGCCCTTGACATCCTGGTTCCTAAGTCGATTCCCAACCACCGAGCCACACCAGGTGCAGGAGAGCAATTCATTTTGCTGGAGTAAATTGGAAAGGCTATATCAGGGTGCCCCAGAACAATGTATGCACACTTTAACAGCTGGTAGCTCAATTTTGAAAATGAAATGTATTTTAATAAACACTGCCTTTATAATTATTCAGAGTGTGTGTATACATTTGGGGGGAATATCACAATTTGTATACATTTGTGTATATAAATGTGTATACATTTTAGGGGGACACCCTATATAGTGAGATAAAAACTCTTGAGCTGATCTTAGAAATAAGTGTAGTATCTTATTGGAGGGAGGGGATTTCTTTTTTTTTTAATCTTTATTGTTAAAAGTATTACATGTGTCCCCTTTTCCCCCCCATTGACCCCTTCCAGCCCTTTCCCATACCAGGCCTTTGTTACCACTTCACCATCATATTGTCTATGTCCTTGGGTTATGCTTATATGCATACACATTCTTTGGTTGATCTCTTCCCACCCACCCACCTCTATCTTCCCTCAGATTCCACAGTCTGTTCCATGCGTCTATGTCTGTGGATCTATTTTGTTCATCAGTTTATTTTGTTTATTAGATTCCACATATGCGTGAGATCATGTGATACACAGGGAGGGAATTTCTGATGGGAACTCAAGAAGTTAACAAAATTTTAGCTTCAGATATATAGTTAGTAGGCTCGGTAACCTGCATATAGAAAGCTATTGCTCCAGGGCCTGAAATGTGTGACTGGACCTGCCCTGACTTCATGACACCCGCTCGCACTTTGATCTCTGTGCCCCAGGAGGACTGCAAGGCGGTATCTGAGCCATGTGCTCCAGGGGAAGAATGTCCACCGCCCAGGGCACAGAGAGTCACCGATCAGGCCTGGCCTGCGTGGCTCAGTGGCTGAGTGTCAACCTCTGGATCAGGTCACAGTTCAATTCCTGGTCAAGCCACATGCCCGGGGTTGCAGGCTCAGTTCCCACTAGGGCGCGTGCAGGAGGTAGCCAATGAATGATTCTCATCACTGATGTTCCTATCTCCCTTTCTCTTCCTCCCTAAAATCAATAAAAATGTACTTTAAAATGCAAAAACAAAAAGCAGGGGTGGGCTGGGAGAGGTCAATGGGGGGAAAAGGAGACATATGTAATACTTTCAACAATAAAGAAAAAAAAAGAATCACCCGCCAGCAGGTGAAGGGATGCTAGGAAAATCCCTGGACTGCAGCTTCTATCCCATTCACCTTTTCCCCTGAATTTCAAACCCCTCACCTGTTTTCCCCTGAATTCCAAACCCTTTACCTACACTTTTCTTCTCCTTATAAAAAAGGTCGGCTTGATCTGAGATGCAAGACAGTCTTTTTAGGGTACAGCGCCCACTGTCTTCTCAGATCACACCCATAAAGACGCAATCCTTGTCTCTACTGATTGGTTCCGATGTTGACAGGCAGCATGCACACCGACTTTTCCAGTTTCATTTCCAGAGAGCCAAGTCATGGGGTCAGACCCACATGAGGCCCCTCTGCCTGCGTGAAGAATCTGGTGAAAGTACTAAGGAGAACATGGGGGGCCGCAGGGGTATGGGAGAGGTGCCTGGAAATGCTTGGGCAAAACCACGGAGTGCTGGGGGTGCCAGCTACAGTACCCGTGCGCACAGGGAGCCTCAAGCCTCCCGAGCACAGAGGTATCGCGGTTCTCTTGTGTCTTAGCAAGTGCCCTCTGCCTGCTCTGAGAGAACGGCTTGCCAGGGTATAAACTAAGGAGGACGCCAGTGGGGAGAGAAAGCAATACTCCAGAGTCCAAACTAAGCCGAGGCCGCAAGGGCTTTGAGAGGCGTCTTGGAGGTGCCCGGGGCTGTGGGAGAGGGAGGAGGGAGGCCTTGCTCCTGCATGTCCACCACCACACAGCTGCCAGAACAGGAGCCCCCTGGACAGCTCCCTGCACCCAGGAAGAGGACAGCTCAAGGCTGGGGGGCAGCAGGCGAGGGCTCCTGGGCCCAGGTGAGGGCGGGAGCACCCAGCCCCAGACACGGGCCCTTGCTCACAGAGAGATGCAGACGTCGACCAGCCTAGGGGCCCAGTAACTTTGCTCGGATCTCTCCGGTAGGGTTAGTCCTGAGAAAATATTTATTGGGATTTGTTTCCTAGGAAAGTTCCTTGGCGCTGCCATGCCGGCCTCCGGCTGCACTGGCCTTCTGTCAGTGGGACGTTAGGGGCTGGAGGGGCAGGTGGTCTTCCTCCAGGGCACCGTCCTTCCCGGGGCTGTTGGCTGGGTCCGGGCTCTTCCTGGTGCCTCTCCGGTAGGGTTAGTCCTGAGAAAATATTTATTGAGATTTGTTCCCTGGGAAAGTTCCTTGGCGCTGTCCTGCCGGTGTCGTCTGTCAGTGGGACTTTAGGGGCTGGAGGAGCAGGTTTTCTTCCTCCAGGGCACCGTCCTTCCTGGGGCGGTTGGTCAAGCCAGAGATCTTCCTGGTGCCTGTGAATGGATGAAGACACTGGGATTGGCCCTTGCGGTGTGTGCCCGGGAGGCAGGCGCTAGGGAGGCAGCAGAAGGCCCCCCCTGAAACCACATCTTGCCTGCGGACAGCAGGGGATCCTGAGTCCCCAGCAGCCCCTCCCCTGCCTCCCTCCTTCCACAGCATTTCCTGAACCCCTGCATGTGCCTGGGGTGGGCCTCCTCCCAGGAGACAGACTTTTTCATTAGAAACCAGGACACGGAGACACACTCGCTGAAGAGCTGAGGGAAGTGAGAGTTAGGTGCTCGGGGAGCTCAGAGGAGAGAGGGACCGCACCCACAGGGCAGGGGCAGATTGGACTCCCATGGACAGCAGGGGATCCTGAGTCCCCAGCAGCCCCTCCCCTGCCTCCCTCCTACCACAGCATTTCCTGAACCCCTGCATCTGCCTGGGGTGGGTCTCCTCCCAGGAGACAGACTTTTTCATTAGAAACCAGGACACGGAGACTCACTTGCTGAAGAGCTGAGGGAAGTGAGAGTTAGGAGCTCAGGGAGCTGAGGCAAGAGGGACCGCACCCACAGGGCGGGGGCAGATTGGACTCCCAGGGAAGCAAGCTGACCTTTAGAATCTTGGCGATGAAGTGACGGGGCAGCAGGACTCAGAATTAAGGACAAAGCGGGTAGACAGGAAGCCCGCAGGGCTGCCAGGGCCTTCGTCAGGGAGCCTGGACCTGGGAAACCAGCCGGCTGTGAAGCAGGAGGACAGATGAGTGCCCTACAGGGGTCCTAGGAGACCCAGAGGGCTTTCCTGGGAGGGGTTGGGCCAGAGGCACAAGCAAGTGGAGTCTTCTGAAAGAGGATGAGGAAGGAGAGGAAGGAGCTCACGGAAGCTGAGATGGGAGCTACGGAAGGTTCCAGGAGGGTGTGCTGTGAAGAGAGCTGGTTCTCCGAAGAGGCCTCTGGGTGGGAGGAAGGAGTCACCCGTGGTGGGAAGCAGGGAGGGGGACAAGGGGGCTCTCACACGCTGGGAAGGAGAGGACGCAGGCCCGGAGAGGCGGGACAGGCACAGAGGAACCGGCTGGAGGTGGGAAGAGGCTCGGTGCTCCGGTCAGCAGGGCCGAGAGGACAGAGCCGGTGGGGGCCAGAGATGCCACCTGTGCTCTGGTGGGAAGGGGCCTCCCTAGTGGGGTCCCCTGCTGGGCTCCAGGCTCAGCCCTGGCACTTGGATGGGGAAAGCAGGCGATGGGTTGGAGCCTGCGAGGAGGAGGGGACGGTGTGAAGAGGCGGGAGGTGAGGGCAGGTGAAGGCAGGCGAGGAGGTCAGGATGCAGGCTGGGCTGCGAAAGCACTAATGGCCTGGAGGTTTTCCCAGGCCAGCGGGTGGGGGATGTGGGGGGAGCACCGCTTTCAGGGGGGCATCTATTCAAATGAGTGTAGCTCAGGAGTGGCCACAGCAGAGGTCCTGCCCCAGACTCTGCATAGCTATGTGGCCAAGCAGACACACATACAAACACACACATGCGAACACACGCATGTGACCACTCACATGGGAACACAGTCTCCCACACGGTTACTCACCAGGGTCGCCTGGCCCCACAGGCTCCTCGCGCACCGTGGGCAGCGTCTGCTCCCAGGCAGCCCAGTTCACTTCCTCCGACCTGAGGGGCAGAGCAGCTCTGAGCTGCGGAGCCAGTGCGGCCTGCTGCGCATAGGAGGGCCCTGACCCTGGGCGGTGGGCTGAGCAGACCTTCCGGGGATGCAGGGACTGCCAGGACGATGGGTCTCTGCCCCTCTCCACAAGACCCCGGCCACCACCAGCCCCCTCAGCCCTTGCAGCTGTGGCCATTGTCCTGAGCCGGGTGCCCATGGGGGGATGGGGCCGAACAGGCACCTGTCCCTGCAGGCAGTCCCCAGCAACCTGGGTGCCCAGAACGTCCAGTGAAACGTTTAGGTCAGGTGTGCCTCCGGGTCCCCACTGGGGCCCAGTGGGCTGCGCTACCTGCCTGAGACTCTCCCTCTCTTTGCTTAACTCTGATCTCCTGAAAGCCTGTTTCTGTCTGTGCATCTGCCACTGAGTGGCCTCTCTCAGTGCCGGGTCCCCCATGGGCATGGAGGAGTTTATTCTCTGTGAAAGGGTTGTAGCCCCTGGTCGTGTGGGAGTTGGGAGGGCAGGTCAGACCAGCGGCAGTGAGGCTGGTGTGCTATAACCTGAGGTTCCTCTGGCTTCTCGGCCTCTTAACTACCCAATTCCAGGCCAGAGAAGTAGGTCAGGGACCTTCAGTTTAAGCCACAGGGACAGGCAGATGGCCAGACAGGCAGTGGCAGCCCCTGGCCTATGAGATCCAGTGTCCCTGAACCCGCCTTCCCAGGGCAGGCTCAGTACCCTGTCACTCCTAAGTCCTGCCTCTCCCACCGCCCTGGCTCCTGGCCACTGTCCCTGGCTTTCAGAGGAGTAACATTAAGGCCGGCCTTCACCTCCCTCCCCTGCCCCTCACTCACCTGAAGCACCAACGCTCATCCGGGCTACCATCTGGCCTGGTGCCAACCCTCAGCTTCACCCCTGCCGGCTGCTTCTTCCTCCTGCACCACCAGTAGCCGTTCTCCACCTCCAGGACGGAGATGGCTCTCTGGGGACAAAGGACAATCAGACAGAGCAGCCAGGGAGATGCGCCACGCACTGTACAGTATAGGCCTAAGTCCACTGAGCACCAGGCTGGATCCAGCTCCAGTGTTTGATTACCTGCGTGGTGTCGGCCTCAACCCCGTGAACCTCAGTTTCCCCACTTACAGGCCTGGGGGCTTCGGGGAAGTCTGCATGTAGAGTGCTCGGCAGTCACTGGCTATTGCATCATTACAGGCCCCAGAATGTCACCCCGACAGGTACCGAAGTTCATCTGCTCTAACCCACAGTGTGCCGGCCCATTGACACACAAAGTAGGTGGGGACAGATCTTTGCAGGTAAGGCCACGGAGTCTCAGAGAAGACAGGGGCTTACCCAAGGTCAACGGGGAATTCGTACCACAGTCCAGCCTCCTGGGCAAGGCTCTCCCTACACAAACTGCCCAGACCTGCACCCAGCCTTCCCAGGTCAAGGGGCAGCTTTGGCTTCCCCATGTAGGTGGTGCCTTATCAGCCCCAGCTGCAGGGACCTCTGATGGCACAGCCTGCCTGCCTCGCCCACCAAAACCCCACACTCGGTATATGCTGAGCACAGGAGAGAAGCTGCATGAGGGCAGACTTCGTCTTGTTCTCTGCTATGCGTTTAGAACCTAAAACTGTGCCTAGCCCCATAGTAGGCACTCAAGAAATACGTAATAATAATTATGATGATGATAACTAACACATTGAGCACCTACTGTGTGTCAGGCACTGTTCTAAGGGCTTCAGATATATGAGCTTATTCGAGCCTCACAGCAGCCCTTGAAGGAAGTAGTGGATGATGGACACCCCGACAAAGGCAAGACCACCCAGGGCCCTGGATCTGCTCCGGGGCCAGCTCAGCTGGGTCCTGCCCACTCCTCACTGGGCCCAGAACTCCTTGGGGAGGGAGGGGGGGCCTCCAGGGGGCACCTGCGCTTCCAAATGCTCCAGCTGTCGGTGTTGACGCTGGTGATAGTCTCGTTCATGAGGGCGATGAGCATGTTGAGCAGCAGGATGTAGGTGAGCAGCACGTAGGCCAGCAGCAGCAGCAGCACAGCCCCGCGGAAGCGCAGCTGCTCCTGGAAGGCCAGCTCGCCCATGCCGATGGTGAACTTGAAGAGCTCCAGGGCGGTGTCCACGATGCCACGGTATGGGACCTCGCTGCCCTCCCCGTCCTCCTGTCCTGCCCCAGCACA